GCTGCTTTGGCGCTTTTATTTCTGTCATGAGTTCAGAATCACAGAATAACAGTTTGGAAGGGACCTCTGGAGCTCAGCTAGTCCAACCTTCTGTTCAGAGCGGGTTACACTGCAGTAAGTTGCTCAAGGCCATGCCATGTTTTGACTGTCTCCAGGATGGAGACACCACAGACACCTTAAGCAACCTGTTCCAGCATTTCCACTCTCACAGGAAAACATTCCTTGATCACCTGTGGCAGGAAGTTATCATCAGTGCAGTCCAGAAACCTCCTGCTTGTGCTCTGCTTTGTTGGCTATACTGGTGGAGGGAAGTTCAAATCCTGCTCTGAATTTGCTCAGAAATTCATGGCCAACATTCTCTGCTAATGTTCTAATGTAAATGAGCAAAGCTTGAGGCCAGGAATGATTCAGGATAAAAACATGTGAGAGGATCTTGGCAGTTTTAGGTAGTCAATCATGTACAAGTGACAGGTATAGGTTTGAACCTCACATACAAAATAAGCTTTTTTATTCCTGTTAGTAACAGAAAGCATGAATATTAATACTTTAAGGACCACAGCACTTTCAAAATATTATTCTGAAAGTCTCAGGTATCTAAAAGAATACCAAAAAAACCCAAAACCCTGCAAATATTTTTAAAGGCTTTAAAGGATTTCTTTTAAGAAACTAGTATTTTGTTTTCCTCTAAGGATCCCCCAGCTCCATAAAAGTGAATTTTCAGAGACTTTTTGATGGAACATGTAAATGGGAAAAGGCAGGAATTTTCAGTAATACAATGGGTTCACCTGTACTGGTCTCAATTCAGGGTGAAGAAAGACATAGGTAGTTCAGAAAGCAAAGTAAAGCCATTCACTCCTTGTCAGTCTTACATAGAAATGCAGGGAGTTGAAGGGAGACAACTTTTCTCTAGGAACACATATTGCCTTACTATAGAAGATTAACTGGCTTCAGAATGATACTACAAAGACCATTTTGGAGGAAGAGACACTATAACACTGAGGAGACATTTTGCATTCAATGTGCTCGAGACTGTAGGTAAGAAGGCATATACTTGTGATAAATTGCAGTGACAAATGTGCTAATATGATTTTATAAAACTGGGAATCATGTCATGAGTAGAAAGTGATTGTTCTTACCCTGTATTAGTGAGAATCACAGTGTGACAAAGTTAGACGAGTCCTTAAATACATGGAAGAAAAACAAATCAATACAACCTAACAGAAAAACAACAGCAACATTTCAGATCAGGAAAGATAAAAACACAAGCAGATGATACAAGTTTTAGACAAAAAATGCCTAAAGGAACATGAAAAATAGTTAGAATAATTAGAATTAGAATAATAATTAGAATTAGAATAATAAGAAGAATTAGAATAACAAGAACATAGGCAAATGTGTAGCAAGGAACAGAAAGATCAGTCAAAAACTAATGTCATCTATGGATAATAGGGCAGAAAAAAATCAAATGTAACGTGAATATAAGGGAAAAATTCCTCAGGCTAAGGACTGCTAGATACTGGAATATATTCTCAGGGGAGAGGTGTCACTTAAGTCATTTAAGACGGGACAAGACAAACCCTTGGAAAAAGTATTACAGCAAATATATATAGAGAGTAATGAGTAACCTGCCATAGGAACAAATGACCTTAAATGGTCTTTTCCATCTGTAACTTCTAAGATTCTATGAAATATGAGCAATGTTCCACTAAGGAACTTGGTATCTATGGCAATTCACTAACCCTACCCTATTTGTGCTAGAATGCAGAGCACTGCTACAGAAAAGGCTTATTACCAAATAATGAGTGATATTTTGGGAAACACTAAAGAGTGCTCAGCAAAGGTGAACTCAGTTGAGAGACTATTGTAGGAAGAGAAATTCTCTGAACTCACTGGCAGTTACTTTCCTGGTGGTGGAGATGAAGCGCATCAGAGATACTTAGGTTTTGGTTGGAAAAAGCATCTGAAGCCAAGCTACACAGTCATAAAACTGTCCCTCCTGTCTGAAATACCCATCTGTACTGGCAGGCTTCTGAAAGGAAACCACTAGCTCACATTCAGTTTTGTAGCCAAGACTGATGGCAAGGCAAAGGAGGGTATGGCAGATGCAATTAGAAGAACTGGATAAGTAGGGTGACTGTTCACAACGAAAGCATGAGTGAAGAATCAATTAGCTACCTTGCTCCTGAAACTGTATTACAGATCTCTGCCTTTGGACAATGGAATTCACTGCTGTATGCTTTTGCTCACTAATGGCAGGAGGAAATTTTTGTTCTAATGTAACAATATTCACGTTTCGTTTTGCCTTTATGATAGCCATTCCCTTTTAATTTCTATGAAATTGGCAAAATATCCTTAACTTCAGGTCTTGATTGCTAAGACCTCTTGTTCCCTTGGATCTTTGATTCCAGTTTTATACCTTTTTATTCTTTCAGTGCTCTGATTGTAATTTCTATGCTATTTTTCTTGAAATTGGGGAGGGAAACTAAAAGTTCAAACATGGCAATATGTTCATCTTCTTAACTACCAGAAGTGAAACTGAGGTCTCCAGACAGTATCTATCTAACTCAGCATAATGTGGTTCCACTACACTGCAGAACTGCCCAGTCAAAATGCAGCTGGCCAGCCCAGATTTACTCACAAACTATCCAGCTGACAACTGGAGGGTTTCCACATCACTAGTACACACTGATAGAATTAAGGGACATGGAAAACTCATAGAGCTCTTCTACTTCAAAGTCTGCATAAGCAACAACTGTAGTATGCCTCTGTAGCTGAGACAAAAGAACCCTTTCTCAACTGCTGTGAAGTGGTTTTGCTTGCCTTTCCCCAATTCTGTTTGTTCAAGCTAGTGAACATGGGGAAATCTTGACCTTCTAACACTATTTAGCCTTCCCAAATAACTCACTATTTACCATGGTTTTTCTGGAAAAGCAATAGAAAGATCTTAATCCAAGGTCTGGCATCAAATTTAACAACTGTTTATTTGTTTACAGTTCCTAAAGATCATTAATTCCATTTCAATACAGACCCTCATTCTTTATTCTGTGTACTCAGCTAATGCTAAATACTTCCTCCTTATAGGGGATTCAGCATTAAGGAGAATCACAGAAGGGTTGAGGTTGGAAGGCACCTCTGGAGGTCATCTGGTCCAACCACTCTGCTCAAGGGAGGGTTGACCCCACCTCAAGATATTTAAGTAACAGGGAACCTTTCCCCACTTCCATTCAAGGCTCTCCCAGGTTAAAAGGCCGTCTTTGCAGGTAAACATTTAATATGGGTCATCACAGAAATCCAAGTCAAGAAATCAAAATTATTTGAAGAAAGAACCTCCAATTTGTAATGAGGACAAACTTCTATGTGAAATAAGGTATTCAGAGGCCTAGCTTCATGTTGATACTATAAGACTGAAATATCAAGACATAAATCTGGCCTCTCAGCCACACACACTTCATGCAGTAGCTAAGAATTTGATAGTTGATGAAAAAAAAGCACGATCATTTCTTTCATTAAAACATGTGAGTCAAAATACCGTGGACCTGTATTCCCCCAGGACATACATACAGACAGGTATTTCTGCCCACTCAGCTACTTAGCATTTATACAATAACATAGTCTTTTGAAGCGTGGCAGTGGTTTTATTTTTTTTCTCATATGGAAACAATGAATGCGTCCTGCCTGTGTGCATTTTTTTTTTTTTTGCATATGAGAAAAGAGATTGAAAAGTACAGCAAATGGAAGGAAAAATAACACTTGTATATTTTCAGTTTTCTACAGGAAACAAAAATAGAATTGGAGGTGCCTCGGAATGAACTAGTTGTGGCTAACCCTATATAGATTTTCAGCTACTCATCTAAATACTTAGATTAGCATTTATGTCAGAGGTGTCGGGTATTAACAGAGAATGGAAAAGGATCCAGACAAATACCCACATAATTTTTTAAAATTAAATTTAAAATTTAATTTAAAAAGACATTGTAATTTTTTGTGCCTCGAAATGCTCAAGCACTCTGGCAAAATCCTGAAAGGCTCTCAAACACTGCAGGATTTGGCCAAAGGGATATAAAAATCTTGCAAGAGCCAGGCCTTATATTATAATGATCAGTGTTTATTCGGAGGCTCCCTTCCACTCTCTGTTACTTCCACTTAACTTCGGGAGTATCAGCAGCCCTAGTGATTTCAGTGAGAGTTTTCAGGAGCTCAGAGCTCAGCATGAATTCAAATGCTCTACTGGCTTTAACTCAAATCGTCTGGCAGGAATGCCCTCATTATACGCTGAAAACAGATTAGGTGGACTCTGTTTAGGAAACAGCTCCCTCTTCTGTTCTTGCTGAAAACAAACCAGTCCTCGGAAGGAAGGAAGGAAGAAAAGTACTTCAAATAGAATCATAGAATCACAGAATCAACTAGGTTGATTTAAGATCATCAAGTCCAACCATTCCCCTAGGATTGCCAAATCTACCACTATCATGTCACTAGGGTCCCTTGTCTACATGGTTTTGGAACACTCCCAGGGACAAGTCATTTACTATAGCAATGGAGCACAGTACCACAGTACACTGCACAAAACAGTACACTGGGGGAGTTCCCTTTCAGTCCAGCTTCCCGTTTTCTGTGTACTCCACAATTACTGCTCCGTAAGTTAGGAACTGTCAGCGTGTCCAACTACAGCTGAGTGAAGCTAGTACAAAAGCTTTCTTGGTCAGACACAGTCTTCCCAAAGAATTTTATCCAGTCTGGTTGAAGTCTGAACTAGTAACTAGCTCCTTCTGAAGCAGTAAACAGAAAACAGCACTTCCAGGGTGCCTCCACTAACAAAGAAAGGAGTCATGAGTGGTTTGGGATGTCAAAAATTAGTAAGTTAAATCAAATTCTCTTTCAGTATCTTCATCTCTTCAAGCCACTCCCCCTCAGTGAAATCAGAAGGCGTATTTCAGTCAATCCTAGTCCTCCATCAGACTTCCTCAACCTTTTAGGTATGATAGTCTTACAAATATTCTTACCTATGGCTTGACAACCGACTCTCATTTTTCTTGAAGAATCTTTCTCTCTTCTCTCTTCCAGCCCCTGAATGTCTGTGAGGGGCACTCACTTTAAGGCTTTTCTCATTGCTGTCTGTACCAAAGCTTGGAAGTGATTTTCTTTCTTCTGTCTTGGTCCTCTCTCTTTCAGTGAGCACACTGGCAAAAGAGTCATCTGTATCTTTGGGAATGGTTCTTAGTTTTTCAAAGGCTGAACTTGTGTGTAAACTTGACATAGCCTTTGATGTGAACCCTGTATTTACTTGTGCTGAAGATCCTTTGCTTTCTTGAAAATCAGTACCTGGGACACTCAGGTCATTTCCTTCATGTTCTTCAGCCTTGAACTGTGCTGTGCTGCTTATGCTAGTGGATCGTTTTGAAAGCCTCCTTTTTTGCAGATCCTAGAAATAAGTACCATTAAAATTTTAGCAATTTACATGAACATGAAAACAAAGGAAAGCTCTATCACTGATTTCTGAGTTAAGAAATTTGTTTATTGCTAGAAATCAGGTTATATAGTAAATCAGATTTTTTTTAAACTATAAAAAAGACAGATGTACAGTTTTACTTAAATTTGAGCACTATTAAAGGTACTACACACTGTTAAAAACTGCTTTCTTTTACCAACGAACATCAACAAAATAACTCCCAAAACCTTAATTTAGGGGTTGTACCCAACTCAGAAAAAAAAAAAGGCATTTTAGTAGACAGATTTCCCGCCACAGGTATCTAGTCTTTATTTCCAAATCAGAGATATTTATAAAAATCCAACTAATTTAACTTCCATATTCTCTTCGGTATTATTTAAATTATAACTTCAAAATTGTGAAAAAAAAATAAGAACAAAAATGTTCATATTGTTACAATCCTAATTTTACACAGGGAAAGTTCCTGTCCAGATAAAAGCAGCATGCAGAAAAAGAGGCAAGACTTTTAGAACTGTTTTGAAAGCACTTACTGATGGAATATTGTCTGATTGGACCAATTTAGAAACATATTTCTAACTAAAAGTAATTGTCAGTTTGAAATTGCTACTGATTAAATGTGGGATTTTGGGAAGGAAAAAAAAATAAATTTAAAAAATAGTAAAAGTGATAACAGCGGCTAAAGAAACTTTGAAAGCCATAGATATCACAAAGACAAAAACAATTTTTCTAGGAAAATGGAAAATCTAATCCATCAAGAGGTACCAAGAATCAAAAAAATTGATAAAGAAATCCTGTAACCTAAGATCACAGACAGACAGAGGGTACTTGCATGCAGTAGCTATATCTGAAACAGTCGGAATTTCTGCATTAACTAAAAACACTTCTCTAACCACGTATTTTCAGACTGCCAATTTAATGGATTAGCATGTAAAAGTAATTTTATGATCATTTGCAAATTACTTTATCACAAAAGGTTATACACAAAATCTATGGCCAAACCACGTATTTTATAAGTGTTGAAAATCACCTCTGGTGAACTTGCTATTGGTCCGGCCATCATTCCTCTGACAATGATACTAGACCTGGGCCTTGGCTTCTCCTTCACTGTGGATTTCAGCTCTTCAGAAACCGTTGCTGCTTTTAAATCTTCTCGACTATCTTGTAACTTCTTATCCCCATCAGAGAGTAACTGACTGTTGTGTACTGCCCCTGTGGGGCATTTTTCACTTTTGTGTTGATGTTTTCTGGATGGAAAGATTTTATCTAGTGAATTCTCAACATTATATCTACAAGGCAGAAAAAGGCAAACTTCAAACAGCAAAATCATGCACAATAAAATCAATGAAAACATCTCTCAATTAAATCACTGCTGTTAAATTAAGTTACATGTTATCTAGCAACAGTACTCAAATATAATCACTTTTCACATCTAGATGTAGGCCTTCAGGACACTATTTCAATATCATATTTATGTGTCACAATTGGTTACAATATCTGTAATGTTTTAATCTTACGCTTCTGATATTTACCATGCCATCACAGAAAGCACACTATATAGATCATATCAAACAGGTCCTAAGCTACCACCAGCCATTCCCATTACTCCTCCGTCTTCAGTGTTTCGGCAGTTTGAAAATTTAGTAACACTTTTCCTAACATCTCTTTTTATCATTAACTTAAGACTGACACTACTGGCCCCTTTCACTCTTTGTTCAAATGTGTAACATTTTAGTAAGAAATATACTTTTGTATTTCAGTTCAAACTTAAAATGGGAAGTTTAGGTTAGATATAAGGAAAAAGTTCTTTACTGTGAGGGTGGTGGGGCACTGGAACAGGCTGCCCAAGTGAATGCTCCATCCCTGATAGTGTTCAAAGCCAGGCTGGACGGAGTCTTGGGTGACATTGCTTAGTGTGAGGTGTCCCTGCCCATGGCAGTAGGTTGGAACTAGATGATCCTTATGTTCCTTTCCAACTCTTAAGTATTCTATGATTCCATGATATGTGCTTTTCCTTGGCAACAGGTTACTATGCTGCTGTCATCTGACCTCTTAATATTCTTTAGCCTCTTTCTTCAGGCAGCAACAGAAGGTGTAGTTCACACATTTGCACCTTTTCCTATAGAATGCTATAAACAAGCTTTTCGGAAATGGAGGTGAGTATCCCATGGATCTGAAACTCCATTTTTACAACACTATACACATTTCTTTCTTAGAAATATATTTTAACAAATCATGTTCTTATTAAGAAAAAAAGAAAGTCATCATTTGACCCCCTAAGAAATCATGATGAGTCCAACTTTCTTCATCAGGATCTGTTTCACTGCCTGCATAGTATTAGATTACTCCTAAATGGAAGTTCTTTTATTGAGTAGCCCCCACTTCACTGAGACCTCTTTAGGTCAGTTTGCAAATTTATATTCTGTGTAACCTGAAAATGTTAGCCTTCTTTACGATAACTGTCACTGAACTGTTTTTTCACTTTAGGATCTTTTCCTTCATCCTATTCCATTAGTAAAGAAATTCCACGAGTTGAAGCACCTTGTACCACAAAAATATTCCTTTCATTTAACCAGTTAAAAATTGGTTTCTGAAGTAGTATGCCTTGTATTGTTAAGATATGGTGCATATGTAACTGAAGGCAGCATGATAAGTCTCTGTGAGGAGCATTTGAGGACTGTTATTCCTGACCTAAGACCGTGTAACCTCTCACTGCCAAAGGGCAGTGGTTCAGCTCAGAGATTGTTTAAACTGTTACAGACATTCAAAAAGAGTTTAAGACCTGACTTAAGAGAAGACTCTTTAACAAGTAACAAGTGAAGAGTACCTGTCTGGTTATACTCTCTACTCCTAAAAGCATTATTAAAAATTATCCAGACAGTTGAAATTAAAATTAACTTCAGGCACTGGCAGTTTGACCTGCTAATGCCTGACCAGAGGCAGAGGGGCCAGACCCTTGGCCAGAGGGGATGGAAATGTCTGGGAGGATCACAGAGCTGCATGTTCCCATGATTTTTCTTTCAGTGGTCCATTTTGTGGGCTAAAATCAGACATGACCAAGCTAACTCATCACCTACCCACGACAGTTACTGTTATGGAAGCTTTGCAGCCCTCTCCTACCGCTTTGCCACCAAAATGGCTGGAATGAGACCTGATCTAAGGGAAAAATGGAGCCACCTGCCCAGGAGTGTGAAGGTCAGGTTCTCTGCTGGTTTCGAAAGAAAAATCAGCTACAAATACTGATTTTTATCAGGACAGACCCTGAAACCCATGTTCCCCCGTCACACCCACTCAGCCCATTTTTCCTTCCTTGCCTCTCCTGCCAACTTTGTCATCTGCCACTTTGGGAAGACATAACCAGTTAGGTTGGTGCTTCTGAAGTAACAAGAAAGCACATACAAAATCTCACAGGATTTATATGGAAACCTGCAAGTCAATACGGGGGGGGGCGGCGGGACGGAGCGGAGTGGGGCTTTATTTTGCTGGCGGTAGAAGGGCGCGGGAGTTGGTCGTTTAACTGTGCTGGGTGCTGCTGTTTACACGGGGTGTTAGTGTGTCCCTCCGCCATAAAAAGCATTTTGCTGTAGCAAGAAAAGTCTGCGGACACTGGAGAGGCTCGCAGGAGGAACGGAACAGTTTGCAGTGTCTGGGGAAGGGGAGAAAATGAGGCATGTGCAAGCTCAGAAGCAGTGTGATGTGGGATAGTGTCAGGGAGACGGAAAATCACTTGTCAACATGCTAAAAGCTCCTGTATCTGAAAAAGAGAAGCAGCTCCTTTTGAACTGCTTCATTTTCAAGTGTTGTTTCTCAGTTGGTAGCATCAAGTTTAAAAAAAATTGGTTTTCTTTGTTCTAGAATTTAGCTAGTTGGAGCATGCTGTGTTTCATATCAGGAATAAAATCAAGTTAATTCCCTGAGAGGGGTGGGAAGATGAATTATTCCTTTGTGCCCATTTTAAAAGCATTATACTGCAGCACAGTTAGGGCTGTTAATCCACTGTGAGGCACTAACAAGTACAGTCAGAATATTTGGTTATTTGTGTTTCCAGGTGTTTTGCAAGATGAAAATAGCCTGTACTGTTGGTAATGACTGAATTTAACATAGTGTGTTTTGCTTTCAACTATATAAAGCATGAATATACCTGTAGTTTTGAGTGCAGGTGGTTAGCTTCTCATCAGAGTATGCATCAGTTTGAACACTTCCAACTTGTAAGACGTTAAAGCTTAAATTCCTATGTCAATTACATCTTTCAGTGACTGAAAGATGTAATTGAAATTATCAGTCTTTGCAATTGGTAGGGAATATAAATGCTTTTTGAAAGGGTGGCTTGCATAGGGGATTTTAAGAATATAGAAACTTAAAAGTTTTGTGTTAATAGGATAACTATTAAGAGGTACTGTAGCCAAAGGTATAAATGATAAAACTTGTAATACTACTTACCTTACTTAATTTACAAAAAAAAAATAGTGTCTGGACAAGATTAAGAGAGAGAAGACTCTACCTGTGGGCTTGAGTTCTGCTTTCATCGAGTGTAGTAGCACTCCCACACACGTGATCCTCGTCTGATAAGTTGGGTTGGTGGGATGTTGAGCTCTTACTTTGAGGGGCTGACAGAGCAGAACTCGAACTGATGCTTCGGGAAGTCCCACGGTGCTCAAGGAAGTAGTTAGTAATAATTTCAAGAAGTGTTTTCAGTGGGTTCTCCTTTGCCTGTCCAAAAAAAGAAATAAACTTCTTGGTGACTACTGACACTGGTAGTTAGTCTAAGGATATTCTTTTTATACCTGTACAGTAGCTGAATATATTAACTACTTTTAGGGTTAGCTGCCTGTGGGTGTATCACATAGATGACTGTCCAAACAATCCAAGAAAGTAGATGTGAGCTGGGCAATATAGAGAGCTTGAAGGTGTTGCTGTGTTAAATGAAGTAAGCATGATACAGAAAACACAACCTGCTAACAATCATTCCTTATTTTAGTGAAACATTGCAAAGTATGGTGACTATGCTAGGATGCACCTTTTCTAATGTTACCTGGTCAACTTCAGGAGAATGTAGAATGAACAAGAAGGATTTTTAGTGACTGACTTCAGTATTTGTGATTTCTTTCTTTACTTGGTAAGAAGCATGGATTATAGAACTCTTAACACGTGCATAAGATAGCTCTTTAATTATAGGCCAACACTCAACTTGTTACACTGCTGTTCAACAGTACTCTGGAAAGTGTGTCATGCATACATGAGAGCTTCATTTAGAAAAAAACTAACACAAAAATTAAAATACACTACAATGCCTTCTATGGAGATGCAACTGAAAGAGGGGAGATGGAGATGAGATACTAGGAAGAAGCTCATCCCTGTGAAGGTGGTGAGGCCTTGGCACAGCCTGTCCCGAGAAGCTGTGGCTGCCTCATCTCTGGCACTGCTCAAGGCCAGGTTGGATGGGGCTTTAAGCAACCTGGTCTAGTGGAAGGTGTCCTTGACCATTGCAGGGGGGTTGGAACTGGATGATCTTGGTCTTTGAGGTCCCTTCCAATTTTGTTTTGTAATTTTTATGGGCTACACTGAGAGATCTTTTTGAAGTCATCTATTACAGAATAGCCTCATGCTGGTTACCAAAAGCATTGTGGTGCCTTAAGTCATGAGTGAACTGGAAATGGAAATTGTGAGGATGGAGGCACGGGCCCAGCTCGGAAGCATAAAAAATATCGTGTAATCTTTGCAATAAATGATCCAGCTTACACTCTACCTCTGGGTCTGTGCCTCCATCCTCACAGAAATCATCCGTTGATGTCCCTCTTATCAAATATTGCTGTCTATATTGCATTTCAAAGAATAATAAATGTTAGAAGTATAATTTTGTCTGCCAGGCCTTAAATAAAGTTGCAAATAAAAATGACCATGTAAAGGTACTTCCACAATTGAATAATCTAGCCAAAATGATGGAAAAAGTACTAACATGAGTAACTGCTCCTGGTTTACTGGAGGTTGCAGTTTGTAGAAGGGTTTATGAACTGCCAGGTTCTTGGCTTCATCCTACGAGCTGCAGTCTCACCTACATGTTGAGCTCTCCATTCCTTAGAGAACTGTTGATGTATCCACAGCAGTGCAGAACCAGATGAAAGATGGAGTTCTCTTCCATTTGGACATACTACAGTCTTGATATGTTTGGCATAGTTTCATGGTATCTGATCCCCAATTCTGGGGAGCAGCATCTGTTTCCTTACCTTGTTGTGTTTGTACAAGGAGTGCAAATGCAGGACATTCCGAAGTTCGTTCCTGTTATTGATGCTAAGTTCAGAACGTGGAAGCTCTTGGTCCATGGTGGTGATGGTTTTCTTCAAACCCTGAGAAGGAAAAGTGTCAGACATCAGACTACTTGCAACAGTACCACTTCACAAATCTTTTAGTCTTGACTTGCATCCCTGCCCATGGCAGGGGGGTTGGCACTATATATCTTAAGGTCCTTTCCTAACTACTCTATGATCCTATGACTTTTTTGGATGTAATATTAAACTTCTGGATGGCAGTAATTAATAATAAGCTAACCCTTAGAATCTGTACTTTAATGGTACAGTCTTGCCTTACTACAGCCCACAGATGAGAAAATAATTAAGGTGGCTGTGTTGGCTGTGAGATGGAAATTACTGAGCATGACAAAACAAGAAAGGCCTCCACGCAGGTGACTTCAACTGCTGAACAGCCTCATAAGGCTGGCTGATGAGTATGAAGGCCCCAGCAAATATGTGAGCTTCAGGTACAAATGCTTCCAGAAACACTGTGTTTGTTTTTTTTCCATCAAGATGTGATAACAGCTTTTCATAAATGTGATTCTGACATGGGTAATTACGAAGTCTGAACATAAATGTGCTCCAGCTGTCAGTGGTTTTAGAGCCCTTATTATGAATTGCTCTGATCAGTCTTGGGTTGGAGATCACTGAGATGTCTCTGACATCAGCTGGTTTGGAGACTTCACATGTTCTCAGTTACTTTGAATCTCTAGTCAGCATAAATGGGCACTTCAGAGACAAAATGTACAGGCATCTCCCTTTCTGGAAGGAGAGCCTGATTTATTGTGCATTAAACCAGTTTATAAGTGGTACAATACCAGATGGCCATTTTGAAATAGAAAGTCTGAATTTCTTCCATGGCAGGTTATTGTTATAATAAAGGATTTATTTTTCTGCACATGGATCTGATGGCTTAGATTTAGGGAATGATGGATAAGTTGTGGTATATAAAGAATCATTGGCTCCAGTCTGTATTGAAGATATGGGGAAGCAGGGGAATGCTTACGCAGAAGGGTGAAGGATTATTGTTTTGACTCCAGAGTCTATTGTAGAAAACAGATGTGGCAGTTCAAGTGTGTACTAGTATTGTAAGCTCTATGGCCTGTGTAGCTGCAGGGCATTCCCCTTCATTTTATGCTTTTATTCAGTTTTACCTTGACATTTGTCTAACTCAGAAATGTATGTCTTTCATCTGAAAAAAATCTTTGCAATCTGTGAACTGACAGATTTGAGCCTCTCACTCTTCTGGCAGTAAATGGCAAATAATGAATTCTGCATCTGAAATCCTGTTGGCAAATGCATCAGCTTTGCTCACAAACATTGAAAATGTGCATTTGGAGACTGGATGCAAAACAGGTGAAGAAAATTAAAGCTTGTGCAGCACTTAGCAAGGCAAGTGACTGTTTCATTTCTGGTACAAGCTAATTCATTCCTGACATGGGAGAACTGACAGGGCTGGACATCAGCAGCATTTCCTTAGGATTCAAGGTAAGTACAGGGTGCTTGGTGCTTTCACTTTGAAATGTAAAGGTGCCTTTTCTTATGCTCAGTCCCACATTCCTTTTACAGCATTAAGTTTGGGAAAAGTATAATGGTCTCTTTTTCTCTTTCCTCCTCCCTCTCCCCTTTCCCCCCCCCCCCCCCCCCCGAGAAGTTGCTGACAAGCTACTGCTGAGAACCGGGGAGGGGGGGAATGGAGAAGGAGAGAAAAACACACAACAAAAACAGCACCAACAGAAAAGTTTAAAATCAAGAGCGAAACAAAAAATGAGCCAAAAAAAATAAAATTAAAAAAAAAAAGTTACCAGTTTCTCTAGAACCATTTACCTTTTGCATTTTTTTTTTTATATATTTCTCCTGGGAATTTTTCTGCGCTTCTTGAAAACACAACGACACCAGCAAGCTAGATAATTATTGAGGAAAATAAATAAAACCACCCTGAAACTGTGTTTCTTGATTTAATCTCGGGTTTTGCAGGCGTGTTGTGTGGGAGGCTCGGGCTTTCCCAAGCAAGGCGGATGCTGGCCTCCATGTTCAGCAATGGAAAGGCTTTGTGGGAAATGTAGTGCCGATACTCCCCGGCCCGTCGCCCTTCACGTCTGGCTGCTTTAAGGCTGAAGAAGTCCCGTGTCGTTCTCTCCGCTCTCTCTCTCCCTCCCCCCAGCATTCCCCAGTCTATTATTAGTACTTTAGACTTTTCATGTACCATTCTTATTTGAACTTGCTGTAGAAAATCGAGACAAGTTACCTTTCTACTGAGAAATTCTCTGATGAGTGATGCAGCCACTTCTTCCACAAAGGAGTTCTCCATTTTTAACTCAAAGTGTGCTTAGGGTGCGTTTTCTTCGCTCCGTCTACCAAACCGTTCTCGCCTCCTGGCATTACAGCTCCCGGTGCGGGCGGAATGGCCGCGGTCCCACGGCGCAACGGGCCGGTGCCCGGGGTAGGGGGGGTTGCTGTGGAGACCGTGTCATCGGCAAGAGGGAGGACTCCTCCCCCTGGAAGGGTGCCGAGGAGCGGCTTCGAACTGGAAGAGATCGTGGTGTAGCGCTGCGGCAAACATCCCAGTAATTGCTTTAAATAGTACATTTTGGGGAAGGAATGTTTAAGTCAGAGTCAAGCACTGTTTCCCTTTTTTTTTTTCTTATGAAGCAGACACATTATTAATTAGCAACCTTTTATTCCTGTGCTAATGCAGTTTTTAACCGTATCATAGAGCCACAGAATAGTTTGGGGTGGAAGGGACCCTAGTGATCATCTGGTTCCAACTGCCCTGCTACAAGAAGGGACACCTTCCACTAGACCAGGTAGCTCAAAGCCCCATCCAATCCAGTCTGGCCTTGAACACTGCCAGGGATGGGGCAGCCACAGCTTCTCTGGGCACCCTGTGCCAGGGCTTCACCACCCTCACAGGCAAATTTTCTTCCTCAGATCTTACTAAATCATCCCTCTGGCAGTGTAAAGTCATTCCTCCTTGTCCTATCTCCTCATGCCCTTTTTAAAAGTTTCTTTCCATATTTCTTGATGTCCCCTTTAGGCACTGTAAGCTGTGCTGAAGTCTCCCTGGAGCCTTCTTTCTTCAGGGTGATCAGTATATATTCTTTAGTAAAATTGAACTCTTGTATAAAACAAACAAATGAAAACTGCAGGTGCTAGATTAAGCTTGATCTCTCATAGTGGCAAAGTCACTGAAGCATTCAGCAATTGAAGGTTTGGGGAAACATTCCCCCCCCCCAAGAAAAGTGGGAGTATTCAGCAATAGAATGTTTCCATTCAGATTGCACCTGCATTAGCCAGCAATACAATATATGGTAACAGGAACGATTGTAGTGAATAACACTTCAGGCTTGGGGATCTGATTTATTTTGGAGAGGTATTGTAGCTGGGTACCCTGCTCAAAGCAAGATACTGTATATCTGCCAGGATGGAGATTCTACAGCCTATGCAACCTTGTCAAATATTTGACCACTCTTCATATAATATTTTCGTTATCTGGTTAAAAGTTCCCTTGTTTCAGCTTCTGACTGATTCATCTTGCCCTTTAACTCTGCCATCTGAAACAAGTCTAGCTCTACCTTTTCTTTAACCCACCTTCAGTAGTTGTCTATATCGTTTAGACTCTTATCTGGTCTTTTTGGGCTGTGCAGATACTGCCGTCCCAAGTACTTCTTGCATCTTGTGTGCTTCAGCCCCTTAAAATTGCCTCACTGGTGCCTTGCTGTACTTGGTCTGCTTCATTCATCTCTTTCTTAAACTGAGTAGTGGGGAAAGGAAAACATGGTATTTCATATGCAACTTCAGGAGTACTTCAAAGGGGCATTTGGGCTTTTATTGGTGCATTATAGTATGTGGCTGCGTGCCAGTGCATCCTACCAACTCATTTTCATCTTGTTTACCTGCTTTCCAGAATCCTGTTCTGCAGAGTTGCTTTCTTGCATAACCAACACTCTGGCTGTATTTTTGAGTAGGTTTATCTCAGTCTAATTGCAGGACTTTGCATGTGACTCTGACATTGCCCACTGTTTTTTCCATATGCATATGTAGGAGATCAATCAGAGCACCTGTCTCCATCAGCTTGTCTAGCCAGCACAGTATCAGAACATTATTGTCAGCACACTCCAAAAGTCTTTTGGGCTGGTTGTGCCAGACATTTCTCTTCTGTGAAATGCTGAGGTGCTTCAAAAATCCTTCATGAGAGGCAGGACCTGGTGATGATGATACTTCTTACAGTTCTCTAAAGAAGCTGACATTTCTTCTCAAATGGAACAGACTGTGATAGGTCCCCACAACAACAGCTGTTTTGTTGATCTTCCTTTTGGTCCTGATCCATAAGGCCCATCATTTGTTGTGTAGTAGATCTCTGAACTCAGGCTGCTGCTTTGCATACAGCACAGTTCTTCCCCCTCTTTCCTGCTTCTCTTCTCCAGCCAGGTCAGCTGTTTCTAGCTGCTTCCAGACCTGGTGGTTTGATATGGGTTAGTTTTGTGTTGCAGAGGTATCAAGTAGTATATCTGCAAGACTAGTAACTGGTTTTTATGTAATTTTACTTGGTAGGGCATCAGCTGAAATCTCAGCCTGAACTCCAGTATGTCATCTCTGTGGCTGACAAAGCATGGAACGTGGCTTAATGGGTAAACCCCTACAATGGAAGAATGGTCACTGGAGATGAGCAAGGTGATGTGCTCATGAAGCTCAGAGAATAATGCAAATAAGCCCACTTCATCTCAACACAAAGAGGACTGGATAAACCTTTGTTTTAGATAAATGCCTGTCAACAGTTAAGTGGATCAACTGGTGGTATAAATATTTCTCCTTGAGTTCTTTAGAAGAGTGTGAATGTCCTCCTGAGTTAGCCAGACAGCGTAGGGCCAGTGTATACATGGCTCAGCCCAACAAAGAGTATAAAAACTACACAACTCATGAAGTCATTTTGAAGAGAGCAACAGGATTGACCTGGCTTTAACCCACGTATTTCTTCCCAGTTACCAAGGGTTCCCAGTTTGTAACACTGGACATATTATAGAGACCAGTAATGGGGATCATACTGGTGATGTGATTGAACTGTGTATTGCAACTGGTACATTTTCTAAGTGTAACTTTTATTTGTATTGTGGTATTGGTATATTTTATATTGCTCTGCTAAATCAGAAATCCTGTGTAATATCAAATATCTATGAATAAGTAAATTTGATATGGAACATTATGCCCTCCACATCTAGAATATTTCAAAGAACCTGGTCAGAAGGTGCTGGACTCTTGGCAGGTTCTTGGAGAGCATGAAGAGATGATGTTTTGCAAAAGTTTTAGTTAGTTTCTCCATATGGGGACATCTGGGGAAAAGATGATTGCCTTGGGATGGAACTAAACTTATCGTGTGTCTTCAGGATATCGGGGGAGGTAATTTGCCATCCATTCAGCTAACTGGATGTGCAAACAGCCTGTTGGCGGTCCGAGCTGTCTGCCATGCATGCGTTAACTTGCTGGCATTTTGTGTTGTTTTAGTACATGATGCAGCATGCGTTTGCAAAAGGGCAGCACTGTTTATCTGTACCTAGATTTTGACACCTATTTTCTTACGAGAGAGGTAACAGTAGCTGGGGCTGCCTTACAGGCTTCTGGGTTTAATTAGTTATCAACCTCACAAATACCACTATCCCAGCTTCCAGATCCCAGTTGGTGAGAATCAGCAGTGGTAGACACTTTGAGCTCACCGCCTGTTCGCATAGCAGCTGGAGTAGCATGGCACGTAGTTTAATTTGGCTAGTTCAGCACCACTAGCTACTGAATGTATGCCGTCTAAGGGACTAAGAGAAATGCTGTCAGTAATGTGAGTGACAGTTCCAGCAATACAGCAAATGTGAGGTCTGGAAGGAATTCTTAAAATATTCTTTGAACATTTTGGTGTCTGGAAATACCGTTATTTCCCAGAGTAATGCTCAATGAGTGGAGTAGATCTAGCTTTCCAGAGACACCTGGAGGTGACTGACATGTTTTTGATACAGAATCCGAATACAATGGAGTGATATCAATGCAAAGTAATTAGAACAAGTTACATATTGCTTGTATAATTGCACACAATTATGTATGTGCTGGAGTTTGTTGTCTCCTCTTGTTCTTTGCTTTGTGCTGTGGAGAGCATAATTGAACTTAAGCTTGATTTTTATATGCTGTTGAAAATTAACTTTATTTGACTAGTGAATGTTCCTGTGTTGTTTTTTTTTTAAATGCAGAACATTTCATTGTATGTTAAAGGAGAAAGTGAAATGTATAAAGATTTTTTTTTTTTAATGTGAAATGCATGAACTTTTTGTGAACAAAAGGCATTTTTGTAAATAAGGGTTTTGGAGAGTGACTGATTCATACAGGAAAGGACTGGTAGGTGAGGGGCTAAACAAGAAATCTGTTTGAGCTCCTTGTTGCCAGAGCATTGTTTAGGTCTGCTGCTCTTTCTTTCTGTTGCCTGTCTTTTCAGCCCTTAGTTAGGCAGAGGTGTAGGGAAATAATGAGCTGAAAGCATGAGAAAGAAATGTGACTCAGACCTCTCATTGATGGCTCTCCTGTGACAATCCTAAGAGTAGCTGCAGCAGGGGCTCTTTTTTTCTGGGTGCGTTAGTGGAGTTCTCTTGGCTGTTGTTCGTCTGTGCTGCTTCAAGCTGATGACTGTGGTGATAGCCCGGAATAGTCAGGGCAGGGTATTATTCAAGTTCTCCCATTTAGCACTGTCTCTCTCTGCTTCTTTGTATCTATGAAGATGAACCCTTACTCAGACAGTTTAACAGGTCTCTTCCTCCTTGCAGCTTTCTCTTGCCCAGGTCTAACAAGCCATATTCCTTCAGTCGCATGTTACAGGACACGTACTCCATCCTGTGACCATTTTCATGACTCTCTACTGAACTCAATCCAGTTGATCAGTGTCTTCATTGTACCAGGGGTGCCAAAAATGTATGTGACATTTCATGTCCACAAATGGTGTTCATATAATGAGTACAGATCCAAGGGGGTTAATAATTTACTTCAGTCACTTTTCCTCAATTAACAGGCCATCCACGTTTTAATTCAGCCAAGGATGCTGTCAGCTGCCTTTGCTGCCAGGGCACACCGCCTGGTGTTCATGTTGCCGACTACGAAGACCACCGTGTCCATTGCCATAGACTGTTCCAAATGACCACCTCCTCCTTCACGTACTCGGAGTGCATTCCAGGAGGGCGCGTTTCGTCATTTCTCCACAAACTGAGGGAAGGCCGAAGGGTAGAACTTTTGGCCTTTTTTTAGAGACAGGTGCAACATTTGTCTTTCATCAGTGATTGAGGACCATCCTGGATCACCACAACTTTTCCAAGATGATAGTGATATCAGTCAGTTCTCAGCACCCATGGATGAAGCCCATGTGGTGGGACCTATGGAACTGGATAAATCATGCCTATGAAACTGGATAAATCATGCTTTCACAAGTAATACCTGACTTCAACCAAATTCACCACCAGTAGTTCATCTTCTTGGAGAGGATCTCAGAGACTTGGGAGAACTCATCAGTGATAAATAAGGCAAAGAAGAAATTGGCTAACTTAACCGTATGT